CTGTGAAAACGAAGTAGAATCCAGTAATCTGTTTCTATAAAGTTTACCCTTATGAAGTTATATCGGGAATTTAGGGAGTTCTGTCTATAAGAGATTTACTTGAAACTTACAAAAAATGATCTTGTTTATTTCATCAGTTCTCGCACCATAAAAATATGCACAGAATACAAAACAGAAGAGTAACTTCTACATGTTAAACCTAATTTTACTGACGACGGTTATTCTCTAAAGTTTGATAACGATATATGTGAAATATAGCTGGAGTGATTCGAAATTTATAGTTGTACTGAAAAAGAATATATACACCAGTCTGGAATGTAAGTGTAATATTTCTAAAGTAAACCTATATAAACATTTGACCAACATTTTATGAACCTTCATTGGGAATACCCTACACTAGAATCTAAATGGTAAACACTTGCATACAGAGCAAATTATCTCACTAAAGCAATTTCATAAACGTTAATTTATTCATTTGTTTCTATGGAGTTGTTCATATAAGCTTTTCATATAAAAAATACCTTATAGCCACACAGCATCGAACTCATGATTTAAGATAATTTATAAGATCATAACAAGACTGCCTGAAGGCGCATATAATTATTCTTCGTAGAAATATTGGTGATAGAGCCAGATATAAGCATACAGAAAACAATTTTTTAGGTCATTTTTTGACATAGTTCTAGATCTCTCTAGATTTCTGTATTTTTCTTCACTTATTGTTTTGTGGTGTTTTGTTAAGTGTGATGACGGACCACGGGTGAACCCGAGGAAGCTGTAGGAGATTCAAAAGGAGCCGAAGATATTCTATCCAATCACCCTTTGGTGGAATATTCTAGACTTCCTACGTGTAGCTTCCTGATTGGACAATGCTAATAACCCCCTGTATTCGAATTGCTGGACTGTAATAATGATTTCGTTCTTACTAAAAACTATAAATACCTAACAATTTTGTACTATAATTGACACCGTCTGGAATAATATTCCTTTCATCAGTCTTCTGTCTTCTTATTGCGACCTGGAAGGGTTTTGGTGTTCTAGTGCTCAGTTATACGCGGTATACCAAGAAAACAACCTTCAAGATATAACGTTAACTATTTATTACTTTCTCATCTTTAAATTACATGTAATCTTATCCTTAATTTTCTAAATCCACCAAAAATCACTCATTTGATTCTCTACATTATTATTATTTAATCTATTTTAGTCTCATTAATAATAATCTTCATTTACCGACTTATAAAATCCGACCAAAACCTCATATGCTGTAGTTGTGTATTTGACCCTCAGTCTAGCTTGTCTGATGTTTTATAGATTTCAATACTGAAATAAACTTTAATTATAATTAATAATGACAACATTTTAGTCACAGTTACTCTGTTATGTAAGAAAAAAAATAAACATTTCATTACAGATTTATTCATTGAAGTATATTATATTGTAGACAAATACTTTAATCACAACTAGCACTAGTCTAATTAGTTCATTTATTTCTAAGTGAGGTTTTGTTTTATTTGAAAATGTTGTACACCATGATTGATTTATTCGGAATTTTCTTAGTTGTGAATGTTTTATTATGTAAATTATTGTTTATTTTGTCTTTTACAAATAAGCACACTTCTTGATGATTAATTGTAAAACTTTGGTTTATTCATAATTTACACATTCGACTTTTATTCAAGTTTTAAAATCCAGTCAGAAACCTCTTTTGAAACCTAAGTATCCAGACAGAATTATTAGCCCCTTATATATATATATATATATATATATTACCCATATGGTCAATAGTCTATGCATAGTTTATATCTTACTTAATGTGCTTTGTTATTGTTATTAAATATCTTGGTAGATGTTTATAATATGCCTACATTGTTTACTAGTAAATAAATAATTATGACTGAATTTTTTTCTGTCTGCCTAATCTTCACCAAAGGTTATGTCTAATTTTCTTGTGAAAATATTAAAATTATGCCAATGATTGGATTTCTAGTAGTTACTATATTTATTTATCTCCTAATCTATTCTTGATTGTTTTGATTGAGATCACGAACCGACTAATGTTAGACCGTTATTGAAAACCAAAAAGCACTGGACGCCCGTTTCGTCCTATTGTGGGACTCCTGACTCGCGGGATTCGAACCCAGGGCCTTCAGTCGCGCGTGCGCACGATTAACCTATTGGACCACTGAGCCGGCCGGCATCCAACGGTGTTACTGTCTAACCCCAACCAATCTACGAAACTGCACGACCATCTTCCAATATAATGAGATAGATACCTGTCTCTATCCGACACGGATTAGCTCCACCGGTCACTGTTGAAGAGTACCACAATAGGACGAAATGGCCGTCCTGTGCTTCCAGATTTTCAATTGTGGTCTAACACTAGTCAGTTCATGATCTCAATCAAAAAACGCAATACTCTCCGCAAACTCTATAATGATATTCCTAATTTAACAGAAAATATATAGCTAGATAAAGTGTATTTTCCTTTATTTTAATGGGAAAGAAGTATCTGTAAATCTCTTCCATGTACATTTGCAGTGTAACTCATCCCAATATCATCGATAAAAAGCTCAAATACAGTTAGGAGTAGAAATGAAATCTTCTGTGACAACTACATTCAGGTATGTAGTACATACTAAAGAAATGGGAAAATAACCGAAAATTCTGAACACAACACAATGAATATTGTGTGTAAATTCAGGTTTTTAGGTATTTTTGACCCAAATTAAATTGGAAAAAGCCTTGATAAATGAAGCCACTTTGCTTCAAAAACTTATGTACCAATAAGAGTAGTTTGCTCATAAAATTTTTGATAAAGAACTAGCAGTAATAACAAAAGTGAAGTGAACGAGAACACAGGTGAGGACAACTAAATATACCTTAATACACTGCAGAATATCTTGCTAAAATCTGAGAACCATACAGTAAATACTTTCTTTGCAAAATATCCATCAATTATCTCAGACTTTGTTGCTCCTTCGTTTCTACACCAATCACACTCTACTTTCATTCTCTTTGATTTTCTCAACCTTCTGCTGCCAGCCATCCCATTTTCCATTAGCGATACATACAACTTTTATCTGTCGACATCAGTAGCATACATCACAGTATTCCTGCCTTGAAGAGTTCGAATCAAGGAACAGATAAAAATCATCAAATTTACGTTAATGAATAGCTAAATCATTTGTTAATAGAATCTGTTTACTATCACTTTGGATTTTCATTAAAACCACTCGATTGAATCATAACTAAATTTAATCAAATACACAACAATTCATTATATCAGAAGGGATTTTGTGGAGATTTTAGAAATTTCACTGATTGAAATCATGAGTCAATTGAAGCTAGACCACCATGGAAAGTCTGTAAGCACTGGTTGGAGTCCCATACTAGGATGAAACGGCCGTCCAGTGCTTCCAGGTTTTCCATGGTGGTCTAGCTTCAATTGACTCATGATCTGAACTGTTGAATATATATATATATATATATATATATATATATATATATATATATGTTGAAGACAGATGTGTAATCGTAACTGTGGCCTTTTTACCAAAGGAAATGAACTAGACACTACATTTCTCTAGACTTATTTACTAAATGTAACATAAATTGAAAATATTTCAACTCATTGATTGAAATAGATTTTTGAGTGTTTCCTTAAAACTTTCAATCAACATGATATATAATTTTAAAAACTCTTCAAAAAAAATTTCTTTTTCTATTCCAACAAATAAAGTTTCCTGGTATATATAAACATACACCCATACACAAGACTGATATTTTTGGTCAGTAAATGTGTATTGTATGTCATGTGTGTAATACTAATAGTAATAACATTGAAAGATATAAGCAAACAATACCAAGTGAATAGAATGAGAGAGATGATAATTTGTTGATAGATTTTCGCAACTTATATGAACATCATGTAAGTGAAATGGGTTACTGTGTTCGTAATTTTGAGTTTTTATAAATCATATATATATATATCTTGTAGATATACTTCATATATAAAGCACCAAAGTACATTTCTTATAGGAAAATTGACGCTATAAAAGAACAAGAGAACAACCAATATAACACATACATTTTACATTCACATATTTCTGTAAAGATTTTTTTTTACCAAAAAAATGTTAATTTTTGTATGTATCTAAACTTTTTTTAGTGAAATAGATAATTTATCATTTAAATAATATTTAGTACCATGCACATAGCTACAATATGTGAATTAGATCTATACCATAAATCTTATACTCACGTGTTTCTATCAGACATACAAATAGATATTAGTCTGACCAATGAAATTCACAAATACTTTTTGATTATTTTTTCAATAGACGAATAATAATAATCATCTTAGTGTATGTATGTGTATATCAGTAACTATATATATATATATATATATATATATATATATATATATATATATATATATATATATAATGTTAATTAAATTGTCATTTTACAGATCTATTAATGGATCAAAAAATGTTGATCAACTTTAACCATGTAAATGGATCATTGTAATGAGAAGTTTTATAATGTTAAAACTATTTATTTCCAATTTATTTATGGATTGTCAATGTCCAATAATATGAGATTATAAACACATCTTTATACATATATATATATACCTATACATATACACGTACTATATATAACTCATGCAGGATGTAATTTGATCTTATCTCTACCACTACTACTACTACTTCTACTACTACTACTACTACTACTACTACTAATAATAATAATAATAATAATAATAAATGTTATTATTTTTAAGCCTATCATACTATGAAAAACCATGTGGATACTATTTGTAAATACAATTAAATATTGGAAATTAACCATGAATTATAAAATAAAATTTAAATAAATAAAATAAGCAGTGATAAAATTGAAATTTAATTATGAAAAATAAAATGAAACAATTTTTTAACTAACATAAACATAATCAAAATATTGATTGTAATCAATAAATAAAAAAAACAATAATGATACCAATTGAGGATAATATCACTACTACTACTACTACTACCACTACTCCTAATCATAATCATACTAATATGAATAAAAGTAAAGAATTGCTATTTTCAACACCATTTGTAAACACAATGATTATAATTGGTATTTTTTTAACTATATGCAGTATTTGTACAATAATTGGTAATCTTTTAGTAGTTTTAGCTATTGGATTAGTCAAAAAATTACGTACACCAAGTAATTTTTTAATTGTTAGCTTAGCTGTAAGTGATTTATTAGTTGGTTTATTAGTTCAACCATTAGCTACATTACGTGAATTATATGGTTATTGGCCATTTGGTGAAGGTATGTGTGATATGTTTATTTCATTTGATGTATTAATGTGTACAGCGTCAATTTTAAATTTATGCGCTATATCAATTGACGATATTTAGCAATTACTCGTCCATTACGTTATGCAGCAAAACGTACACCAAAGCGTATGATGATAATGATATTAATAGTATGGTTATTTTCAGCATTGATTAGTATACCACCAATGTTTGGATTTAAAGAACCATTTGTTACTGGTTTATGTGAATATAGTTCAAATATTATTTATCAAATCTATGCTACATGTGGTGCATTTTATATTCCATTAATTGTAATGCTTATATTATATGGACGTATACTTATATTAGCACGTAATATGGCACATGCTGATGCTAAACAACAACGTGTTGCGGAATCAGTTACACAAACTAATGCATATAATTCCTTAGAAAGTGAACCACCAGAACAACACATGCAAAAATTAAAACAGACAACTGCGACCACAACCAACACGGTAGAAAACAAATCTGACGTGTTATTACTGCCTAATAATGAACAGAATAACATTGTTTATTCATCTAATAACGCTAAGAAAGAGAAATATCCTTTACCCCCATCAGAATTATGTCGACGGCGTAAACCACGTCCATTGAGAAGACTTAGTTACGGTGATGAACTCCTTATTAAAAAATCATTGGATATTAATGTAAAGAATGTGAAAAAACCAGTTGGTACTTCGGAATGCTCATCTACGTTGTCGTCTATTGAACAATTTGAACAACATGTTAAAGAATTGAAACAGTTAAGAGCGGAATTTTTCGCCGCACCATATACACGACATTCGATTACTATTAATATAACACAATTAAGAAGTCGTAATGATCATAAAGAGAATGAAAATTTATCATCTTTAAATACTTCTACTTTTAATAATAATGATAGTTTACAACAACAACAACCGGTGACATTTATACCTAAAAATAAATCTCTATTATTAACTGATTCTAACCGATCGAGAAACTCAATATTTTCACCACCTTTCTTATCAGTATCACATTATTTTGATGGATCTAGTTATATGAATAGCTTAACACAAATTTCTGAGGTTGCACCAAATCCATATACTCTTAATGATAATCTGAGAGATGATAATAAAAATAACCTCGAGGAATATAGTAGTAATTTAATGTTAACATCACAAGAAACAACTCCATTAATAGTTAGCAGTACTGGTATGCCATTTACTCCAGGTATTGGTGATATAAAGAGTGATTTTTACTATCCATCTTCATTCGGTACACCGTTAATTGGGCCTAAATTTACTACAATGCATCCGGTACGCCCGCGACAGAGACCATTTCATACACCAAGAAGATCATTTACTACAGCTAATGAATATATACCCATAAATCGTCCATTTCTATTAGATTTACCTAGTTATACAATTGATCGACGATGTAGTTCACCGTCTACATCACATAATTTTCCTTGGAATCATATTATTAATCGTAATGTTAAAAAAGATGCACAAAACTCTTTGGGTTTGTTTACAAATACCCGGACAACTACAACCACTACTACAATTACAAACGATAACGAAAATACAACAACTACCAATGATAATAATAATAATACCGGGAAAGTTAATCACATCAATATGCATCAAATGTCTTTCAGTTCTAATCAGACTGAAAATTTTATCATGGCTAATCAACCAGGAAGTTTAGTTAGCTCAAATTGGGTGTGTCCTAAATTACCACCGGTGAAAAAACGTAATTCACGTCATCAAAATGAATCAAAAGCTGTTAAAACACTTGGAATTATTATGGGATGTTTTTGTTTATGCTGGTTACCATTTTTCATTATTGCAGTAAGTTTTATTTTAAAAATTATTATTATTGGTATTATCCCGTATTAAAAGTACACGGCAGTATGGTAAATAATTTTACATTATAACCGATATATTATGATGCTATTTATTACCGTTTTTTGTTTATAAAACCACTTATGGTGATCCATATATTTTGTCCAAATATAAATGAAGGTAAATAGATTGTTTATAAATCACAAATAAAATTCTTGAATTAAAAACAAACATTCTGTTTAATGAAATTACTCAATTAAATGTTGAACCTATAACCTACTGATAGAACTTTGATTAGATTTACTTGCGTCTGTTACCCCTCGTGGAGGAGCACAGGCCGCTTACAAGCATTCTCCATTCATCTCTGTCCTGGACAATCATTTGCAGTTGGTTCCAGTTTTTATTAATCCTTTTCATGTCTACTGCCGATTCTTGAAGCAGTGTGTCTTTTGGCCTTCCTCTTTTTCGTTTCCCTTAAGTTTATATTATTAAAAATCTCATTTTTTAAATATATTCAACAATGGCTTCAATTTGTTTTCAATAAATCTCAAGTGTAATATTAGTTGAGACAACTAACTGATTCGAGATTTAATATACAGGTTAATAAGTTCATTATGTTATTCACATATTGTTATTAGTATTCTATAGTTAATTTCGTTTATGGAATAGTTGATCAACGGATATAATATTTAAATGAAATTTAAAATGAAAATAGAGTTAAAATGTGAAATAATGCAGGAAATTTAGTTGATTGCCTTTTAATGGAGAAGTATTCATCTACTAGTAATGTTTAATGTTCAGAATCGATAGAACCATAGTCCTACCATCGTGATTAGTTAATTCAACACTCTCAAAAAAACGCATCAACTTATCACTATTCATATTAGTACTACAGTTCTTTATTCACGTCTGTAATAATAATTCTTATATCATTCAGTGATCCCGTTGTTAATATCTTTAACGGGATTTCTGACCAATCTTTGTTGACATCCACGCATTTTACAGTGACTGCTTTTATGTTGTCATTTGACTTAAACACGAACACCAACATTAGGATACAAGCCCCAAATAGAACGAAACAGTCACCCAAAATTTCACCGCTAGTCACAATTAGTCTATTTTACGTAGTAGCAGTAGTAGTAGTAATAGCTTAAGTTATATTTCACTTGATTTGGCTTTATTAAGAAGAACGAGATTTAATGTGATAGCCGAAAGTCAGTTGATTACATAAAGTTGTCATTTTCCTTTTAATTATTAATCAAACTTTGAAACATTATTTTTTTGATTTCTTAGTAACCAACTAAATTTATTTTTAGATTTAGTCAGTTAAATATCAAAACCAATATAAATAGAAATAATATATTTGTAATATTCTAAAGAATAGAAGAATCAAATTTTCTGACGTTTCGTGACTCAGTGTAAGGCACTTCTTCAGGGAATAGGTAACTAAATTAAATCAACTGAAGAATAAATAATACTATGACACTAGTACTGAATGGTATTATTTAAACTCGGATTAATTTAACTTAGTTATTTATTCTCTGAAGAGGTGCCTTACACTGGGTTGCGAAACACCAGAAAACTTGTAAACTTAATTTTCCTACTCATTAGGCTATTACAAATGTAATATACCTGATGATCAATTTATTTGAAATTATCAAGTCAAACCTTGGTAATGATACCTATCGAAACCAATAGTTTATTATTTCGTTATTCTTTTAAACAATTATCAGATTGATGATTGAGTGATAGATTTCAATTGCGTAATTTCATAACTGTATTCATTCGTTCAATATTTCATCATTACTTGTTTAACAATCTAATTGTCAACCCATCACATAATAATTTTATAATGAATAAAAAGAAAAGTTTATATCTATTATTTATGTATGTTAAAAGTGTTTAAAAATGAATAATTATGAACTAGAGGATTATTTAAAATCCAGTCTTGGGCATCTTCTATGGGAATAAGTCCACTTGTTTTTTATTTCAATTATTATTAATTTTAATATCTACCTAACTACTGGACAAGTGGCAGCTAACTGAGTATATATTTTTATTGAGTACTAGTTCTATTTTAACACATTCCGTTAGTAACTTCTATGTGTAATAGGAAATATATTCAATCATCTTTTCCTACATGAATAGGTAGTATCTGTGCGTCTCCATTGTATAAGACACCTGTCATTTGCTACATATGCCTAGTGACCTCATTTCTTGGCACATGATATTAAATGGTGTAAAAGTAGGTTGAAAAAAATGTTAGCTGCTGTCGAAATCAGTCTTTGTACTACTCATAAAGTCCCTCACTATTCGTCTGTTAATTGTTGATATATCCAGACTATCTGATATGGGCACTCTGAATAGTTATCAATGACTAGTCATTACGTTTAACACCACAAAAAATAAATCACAACGGTTTAGATGCATCATTTATATTACTCCCCTCAGACATTGAGTTTTAATATTATCCATACTTTCTATTCCGTAAACACATTCCTTTTTTTTTCTAAAACGGTTTCTGTATTCTTAGCCTTATTTGCATAATCGTAAATACTGATATTACTTCGGCCATCATTTAATTCATTCTAATACTTTCATCTGTTTGAGGTAATATCAAGTGGAAATTTGAATTGGCGTGCATCTACAACAGTTGTTAAGTTTGTAGGTATCATTACCAAGGTTTGACTTGATAATTTCGAATAAACTAAGCACTGGGTAGATTTTTATGAATAAATAAATAAATAATATACTTATAATATCCCAATGAATAGAAAGATTAGATTTTGTGACGTTTTGTGATTCAGTCTAATCACTTCTTCGGAGAATAAATAACTTATTTATGATGGACTTTCTACATTCATCATAGTGAATAGGTTATGTAGATAAATGTAGTGTCGGTTTTTCTTAAAAAAAAACATTTTCAGCATCTTAAATAAACTTTCATTAGTTATTCAAGCCAACCAAATCCTTATTTTGATGAAAATTATATTCATGGTTTATTACGGATTTATTTGATGAAATTTACGCATTCACTAATTGTCCTTATACATAATCCTTTTTTATACATTACTACCGTTGGAGCGACTACTTCTATGAATTTGATGTTCATCTTGTTGTGCTAATGAAGTATAGCAACTTGGACCAATGCTTATATTTGCCTGGTCCTATATTGTAACTGACTAATTGATTGACTACTAAACTTATAATAATACCATACATATTAGATGATAAAAGATCTCTACCCATTTTACATCGAAAATATCTTATTGTAAATCAAATAATGATAAAACAGTCGTTTTTTTCTTTTCAACAAAAAGAGAACTCTTCGCTGAACCAATCTTTCTTATTTACTGTCATAATGGATGTATTCCGTTTACTAAACTAATTTTGAAGCGAATGGTACTGGGTTCGAGTCCCAGAGTGAACATCAACTCTGAGATGCAGATACATCCAGTTGACGAGTCCCGAATAGGACGAAACGCGCGTCCTGGATTCCACTTCTAGCCACTATCCATCACTGCTTAATTTTCAACTTTTTACTTTTAACAAATAAAACTCAATGAAATGATCATTTTTATAGGCAAATGATCATATTCATTAGTTTATTTATTCTGTTTATTACTTTTTAATTATCTTCTCCCAGCATTTAAACTAATAAGCATCTTATCATTATCATTTCAAATTTGTTAGTTACGACCGGTATTTCTAATATTGATTTTGTAATTACTATTATACATTAAATGAAAGTTGTTGTTCTTTTTATCTTTCTTTAAAAATCAATAAAATTTTTACCAAATTTAATTGATTCATATTATCATTTATATAATATTTGTCATAAATCGAATGATTATCTACATCGATTAAAAAATCAATAAAGTATATTCCATTCAATATATTATGTGTTATATATAAAACTTATATATAAGAATTTTGTATTCATAATGATCATTAACGGTTGTTCTACTTCATATGGGATCTCTAAGGATGTGTATTACCGAAAGAACTCAGACTGGGATAATGAATTGTTCCAGTATTATTTGATTTGTAGTAGTTTTTCCAATAACATCTATTACAAATTGAATTGATTTTCACAAGTTACCCAACTAAATAATGATGATTCATAGTTTATCAGTAGTACATTTTTTTTCAAGTAACCATATTAAATTATTGATTTTATATGGTTCTTCTAATTAAAGTATCAATTATGCTAATAGAGAATATGTTTCTTACTAAAATTCATTGATCAATGTATTGTTTAATCAAACAAAATTAAAGTTTCCACAAGTTTTTGTTTTCTCCGCCTCCCTCACATTTGACTTATCCTTGTAAAAAATTTTGTTTATTGGAGAGTGAAAACAAAAAGGAAGTATATCGAAGAATGATGGCAATTATAACAAGAACAGAAACAAAATAAATAACATGGAAGCCGATGATACTTTCTTACTTATACTTGTTTCATCCAATTTAGAAGTTTATTGATCTTTCTTTATATGTTTAACTGACCATTTTTAATCTACCTCTTAATTAGACATTTTCTACTATTTTCAGACTAGTAATTTACTAAAGAGATTTATAATATGAAAACAAAAAGTTTGTTTTAAGATGTTTTTTGTCAAAATGAAATCATATGGATAAGCTACCCATTATATCTCTGAATATATATATTTATTTCCTCTACATGTTATATGGATATTTAGCTGTTCATCTTATCAGATTAGTTATACGATCACAGTAAATCTTTTAACTGAGAAGAGTGAGTTACTGATTGAGAGTTATCAATCAACAGTTTTACTATCTATCTCATTTATTACATATTCTATTTCTTAATGTTCATTATATGGTTTGTTTAACTGCTTCATTCAGTCAGCTATGTTTGTACTTCTCGGTTTTCACTATTCGTTTGTAAATTTATAACCAAATTCAATTATTTTGTTAAGATTAAACAAATACCAAACATTTACAAGACTTAGATTATATTTCAATGCATTTATGATAGTTTTTTT